ATTTGTAGGTGTTTGATAACAGCGTCACTCTGCGCTTCTTATAACATATCGCGATTGTCTTTTATTGTCTACTTGCTGTTAGAGGCTTACACTAGTTATGTGTGTTGCCTACTGTGAGATTACGTTACTGCACCGTAGATGCACCCGCTTTGCTAAGCCTATCGAACCTTGTCTAGTTCAGGAACAAAATATCGGAACAACCATCTAACAGCATTGTACCCTCTGTTGTGAAATGCGATTTTTTCACTTGGTCATATTTTCTCCATCACATCTTGTTCCAAATGTAGATTCCATATATCTACCGGCCTGCAGCCTATAAACCATGATAGCGAAGTGCGGGTTGCAGTATTTTGGGCAAATACCACGAAACAGTTTGTTCATTTTTTATTGATTAATGCTACGTGAATTGCAGGTAGGTATTTATGTTCTCGAAAACACTTGGTACCTTGCAAGTGATGACATGAATTACTACTCGACTCCATATTTGTCATGCACGAGTCATAGCTACACATCTTGATAAAAAAATTGCTTACACAGTTTTCCAAAGAATTGTGACGAAAAATGTGGCATACAATTTTTCAGTCGGGCAATCTAAAAGAAGATTTTGTCCTAAAAATATTGATAGGAAGGAATATCACACTGTAGTTCCCTTAAAGCTCATTTGCACATTTATTGAGATATGCTAGCTCCAATGTTGTTATTCACATACATATATACGCATTACACGGTTCAGTAGGACGAGCTAGCTCTATAATTATATTTATCCAAATAAATGGTTCCAGCGCAACTCATTCCAGGTTTAAACAATACCTCACTATGAACACAACTGTTGGGGAGCTGCAATACTCGCAAATTAATGAGCTTGTCAAATTAATGACGATAGCTTGTTAGTAAGATTTATCAAAATATCAATCTCTCTGTTAATTGGTAATATCAATCATAAATATGATGGCATTTGGGCATTATGATTTAGGTGTCCAAGCATATTACGAGGGTTGATCCTGAAATACGGTTCCCCAAAATACAGGATACAGGAGGTAGGATAAAACGTTATTACAAATTATTATTATTATTATTATTATTATTATTATTATTATTATTATTATTATTATTATTATTATTATTATTATTATTATTATTATTATTATTATTATTATTATTATTATTATTATTATTATGACATATAGCTTAGCACAGGACACTTGATATTTGGAGACTGGATTTAATATCGCTGGCTAAGAAAACTTCTTGTGTGCCTGATCTAGGCGTGCTGGCAACTGTGCTTTTGTAGCATCTCATAAGGTATGTCATCTGTGTAACATTTTTGCCTCGAGGGCATCATCAAAAAGAGAAAGTTTAAAAATGAAAAAACATTTTTTTACTACCTTCAAAACCGTCAACTGGAATGAACTTAAAGTGGATTTAATTAAGTATTGTCCACCTTCAAAAGTCCTTACTTAAAATTAACGTGCACCAGTCGCAGAGATACAGGGGCTTAGTGACATTATCTTTTCAAATAAATAATAAATCTTGACCTAGCGGGACCAATATGGGAAGCTCCATCATGGACGGCTGCTGAAAAAAGCACGACCGGGGGAATTGAGACTGTCGCTGTCCAGTGTCGCTGGAGCTATTTGAAAACCTAAATCCTGGATCAACCCTCGTATATAATAATAATATGATTTTAAATATATAATATACGCAGTGGTTCGATATGTTGTTGTAATGATATCACAGATGAAAGACACAGATTAGCCTGCACGTAGAAATTTTGCATAATATTTCACATTTCAGCGAGCGGAAGCTTTCGTAATCGTTCATCAGGAGATGGGTTTACTGCTTGAAAACCGCTTTTATCTATAACATGTACCAACGAACAGCCCATAATTTAGTTTAACTCAATTTCGAAGCATTATATTGGCCAAACGTACAGGTATTTAAATATACTAAGTGACATATAAATCCGAACACCCAGTTTAAATGGTTTTATTTTAATAAAATTTTGTATAAGTACTTAATGAAGCATAAGAAGTGAATGATAAAAATTTCAAAATGATTGCACTGCTTTAAAGCCATTTGACCTTTAATAATGTGTGGATGCACCCTGATGTGCTACGCATTCTCCAACGCGCCTGAGCATGATTCTGATCAGGTGGTCAATGTCCTCCTGTGGTATCTCATTCCAGGCAACCACCAACTCCTCTCGAAGTGCTTCTAGAGTCTGAGGAGGACGTTGCAAATTGAGCAATCTCCTACCCATCATATCCCACACGTGCTCAATTGGGGATAAGTCGGGAGATCTTGGTGGCCATGGTAACAATGTGACATCATTATGTTGAAAGAAGTCTATTGTGACTCTTGCAACATGTGGTCGGGCATTATCTTGTTGGAAAGTTGGATCTGCCAGGGTGTCAAGATAGGGTAAAAGATGGGGTTCTAGCACTTCGTGGATATAACGCTGCGCGTTCATGTTACCTCTGATAAAGATTAAAGGTGACCTGGAACCATAAGCCATAGCACTCCAAACCATAACTCCAACAGTGTGACGAACATGTCTTTCAACAAAAAACTGTGGATTCCTCCTTTCACCACGTCGCCTTCTAACCCGACCATCGTGCATGCCTAAACAAAATCCAGACTCACTAAAGACAATACTGTTCCATTCCTGATCCCAGAGTGACCGTTGTCTACACCACTCAAGGCGATTACGTCGGTGTTCTCGAGTTAAAGGGAGGATCCAGTGTGGCCGGTATGAAAACAAGCCAAAACTTTTCATTCGTCGGTAAACACTTCGCATGCCAATAGGTCTTCCGTGTTCTGCAAACCATTCATTTGCAATGGACCTGGTAGTGGAGAAACGGTCCCTTAAGGCCAATAACCTTAGGCGGCGATCTTCACGGTCTGTTGTTCTACGGCGGCGTCCAGTGCCCCTTGTTCTTTGCGTACGGCCTTCTCGAAGCCATGCCTGACAACACCTAACCACAGTGTCTACACTTCTTTGCACTGTAACTGCAATTGCCCGAAAAGAAAGTCCAGCTTCCCGAAGTCCCACTATACGGCCCCTATCAAACTCACTAAGTTGACGAAATCGTACAGGTCTCCGTATTCTAGGCATCGTAGCCGATCATAAAGGATGTCAAGAACCAAAATCCGCCAACGTTGATTCTTTACTGCGGCTGAAATATTCATTTTTAGAGCGTTAGTGAATTAAAAAAAAGCAGTATAAAAACCGGAATGTCCAACTGATAAGGCTGAACATTTTTTCACTTGTTATTTACAGTAAGATAAATACATTCACCAACTTTTATTAAAATAAAACCATTTAAACTGGGTGTTCGGATTTATATGTCGCTTAGTATATTTTCAACAGCAGCAGGACTGGGCATTGTTAGCATAAGGACAAGCGTTTGAGATATATTGCAAAATCCCTAGCGATCAAAAAAATATGACAAAGTAAACCTCACGTTTCCAATAACGTGTATCGCTGTTTGATGGGCATTAGCGTCATTCTTGCAACCAATGATGCTAAGAGCACTCTTGAACCATGTTCCTACAAATACTGCTACATGCCAGAGCTACATAAACTGACACGCAATCACGTACAGTCTGTCTTATATAACACCAGAGTGTGTAGATGAGTGACTTTTATGATACATTTCAGCTTTTACCAAATTATATAATCAAAAAAATTACGTCTTCCAACTTAATACTAGATATAAACAAAATCATCATTTAGGCAAGTCTACCGTGGAGTACCATTGTTGACGATCGTTTTTCGATTGGCTGTTGAGGGCTCTTCAAACCCATTTCGCTTCATTGCTTTGCCACGTCGCAAAACCACCGATATATGTCAGTTAATGAAGCTGGAGGACACAAAAAAGGGTCGCGGCTTGGCTGCTGTTTTTGTCGATCGCGTATTTAGCACCTAGTCGTCTGTATGAAGATTGAGCTATAAATACGCTGGTGCCCTAATATACCTGGTACAGTCGATCGGTTCATTTTTGAAAGAGAAATAATAAAACTCTATGTTTATTTGGCCAGATAAACTCAATATACAGATCAATTTAGATTCTCGGTGTTTCAGGTTACAATCCGTTTGTTTTTCAGGTGTGTTGTAACAAGCAGCCTGAACGGTCATGTCCACGCCGAGGTTGTGAGAAGTCATCATTACAATCTTAAAATATCACTACGCAAAACCAGCAATGCCTTATGAGAAAATAATTTAAAATACTTTAAAACATTTGATATTGAAGTGGCGAATCAAAGCAGCTGCGCATTTGGGATCTAATATCAAACCATAAGTAAAAGCTGGAAAAACAAATCGATTTGGGGATATATCAATAATATACTGAGTCATAAAAAAAGGTAAATACCTACGTATGTTTATCCGATTTTAAAATTTTTTGGCTTGTTTGTTGATCGTGTAATATTAATAGCACCAAAAATTTGGAAATCATCATGTTTTATCACAACAATAGTGCTGTTTCCGATACAAGCCACCTGAATAGCAGCTAATGAACATTCATATCAGACACGAGCATCTGCCAACCACACAATGAATATTTATTTATTAATTTAACAGTCAAGTGTAGTGATGCTGCTACATTAACCGGCTAACGCGCTCTGACGGGCATTAAAAATTTCGACATCCCAGTGTGCAGTGTAATAATACGCTCCAAAGGCAATTAATCCGGACTGATCCGTGATGTGGCGCTAACAACCTTCCCTCTCCGCCCTATCCCCTCTCCGCTTAGTTTCCACGCCCTCACATCACCAATGGTCTCCATTAAGTTCGTCAGTACAGTTCTGTGAACAGTTGGGAATTGTGGGTGGAATTGATTACGAGGGATGTCTTTTAAGTTTTGCATATAGAAAGATAGTAGGCAGCGCGGATCGAACGTCAGTACTGAATCTTAACCTCACTCTTTAGTAAACTTAAATTCAAAGTTTCACAACAATACGTGCAGTGAATTTTTAAGTGTCACCAAGTCATTAGAAAAATGGAACTCAACCGAGAACATTTTCGCGCCATAATTTATTACAACTTTCGGGTAACGAGGCGCCACATTAGTCGACAATTTCCCGTTGGTATTGAGAATTCGAACGTGGACGGGTGAGTCTTAGCGACGATTCTAGGGTGGGTGCACCAAAAACAGCAGTCACCCAGGAAAACGTCGATGCTGTGCGCAAACTCATCATTGAAGATAGACATGTGACATATCGCGAGATTGAGGCGTCCTTGAAGATCTCAAAGACCTCAACTCAAAAAATTTTACATGAAGAATTAGGAGCAAGAAAATTAGTTTCTCGTTGGATACCCCACCTGTTGACTGAATAGCAAAAAGCAGAGAGGGTTAATTGGTGTCAAAAAACGCTTGACCGTTTCAAATGTTAGTGGTGATGAGTCGTGGATTTACTGTTGTGAACCAGTAAATTAACGACAGTCGGCTGTTTGGGTGTTCCAAGGTGAAGAAAAGCCAACAAAAGTCATCCGTTCTCGAAGATGGTCGCGACATTTGTGACAAAAGCGGGTCATATTGCAACAATTCCTCTTAATGAACAAAGAACTGTTACTGCGGATTTTTATACCACCATTTGCTTGCCAAAAGTCATCACTGAGCTTCGAAAAATCAACCCCGAAAGAAGAATCATCCTCCACGAAGACAATGCAAGCTCGCACAAAGCCCAAAAAACAAGGCAGCATTTAACGGAAGAAAACATGGAATTATTGGACCATCCTCCATATAGCCCCGATCTAAGTCCTAGCGATTTCTTTACTTTCCCGAAAATTAAAAACAGACTGCGTGTACAAAGATTCCAGTCACCAGAAGAAGCAGTTGACGCATTCAAAAATGCCGTTTTGGATCTGCCAGCAAGCGAGTGCTTCGAAAATTCATTCGAGCGCATGCAGATGTGTATTAATCTTCGTGGAGAATACTTCGAAAAACAATAAAGTCATTTAAAACTAGCCACCGAGTTGTTTTATTTCCATATGCAAACTTAAAAGACATCCCTCGTATTAGTGTTACCACTCCATAGATGCAGATTGACCTGAAGGAGGCATCGACAAAACGATAGATATTACTGCTACCTGATTTTGAACTATTATCTCTGTATTAAAAGTTTGGTCTCGGAGCGTTTTCAGACTTTCTACGATGTTGCCATATCTACATAATTAAGCTGATAGTCTCAGTGTTTACAGGTTATTCTAAGCAGTACTGGGGTGCTAATAATAAAAATTGTATTAACATTTAGAGCAGAGGATTGTTTCCGAAGATAAAAGGATAATGATGGCGATAACGGAGTCATTACTGTCTGATTGGAACTGACCGACTATTCCCTTGGTCAAATTTGGAGAATATTCGTCCATCACTTCTTAAGATATTCGACCGTTTTATGTATATGTATGTAAAGCAGCTGATATCGACGCACAGTGGTTCAAGAACCAAAAAACCTGGCCAAAGGTACAAAATATTTTTTCGCGTACAGCACCAGATTTTGAAACCATTTGTTTCCTGAAGATGGCCCTGAATCCGAAATTTCAGTAGGGTGAATGTCTGTTGCATCAAACGTTAAAATGACGAGAAGCTCATGTCGAAAGAGATAATGAAACAGTGCCACGTTTTGAAACAAACAGCTCTATGCACAAGAAACCGAAATCTCTAACCAAAGTGAATTTTCCAGTTCCGGAATCGGTTCATAACGTTGTTTGAAAAATTGAACTATGGTAGATATGATATCATTAAGACTCGTCCCCTACTTAACTATCGGACTTCAGAGTGAAGAAGTGGTTCCCGGTATTGACAGTCAATTTCATCGGCCAAGGTTTTGAATAATCTTCTTTGTAGCGCTTGAGCTCTAATCTTGTTCACAATCTTTACTACCAATTTCATAACGTTGTTTAGTTTTAGAAAATGTCCACCTAACGCTTGCCGATGCATAATGCAGTGGTAACAGAGAAATTGAGGAAAACTTTCATCTTTACGACACAACCCCACCAGCCCCTTATCACCACCCACCATAGCTGGAGCGCCATCGGTTGTCAAGCCTACCATTTTCGATATTGGAATTTTCTCAGGAGAAATAATATTTTGAAAAGAAGAAACAAGTCCTGAAAAGTAGTTTGTCCTTTTGGTGGATTAACACATGGTTCAATAAGTCCCGGGACTAACCATGAAAACAGCATTTGATTCGAAAAATTAATTTTTATTCATCAACGTAATCGCTATCAAGTGCAATGCAATCATTCCAACGTTTTTCTAACTTCTCGATACCATGCTTGAAGAAAGATTGTTCCTTGGTGTCAAAATAAGCTTCTGTTGCAGCAATAACTTCCTCGTTAGAGCCAAATCTTTGTCCCTGGAGCATCTTTTTGAGATTAGCAAAGAGCCAGTAGTCGCTGGGGGCTATATCTAGAGAGTACGGTAGATAGGGAAGCAGACTGAAGCCGAACTCGTTCAATTTGGCCATTATTTTTATTGACTTGTCACACATGCTGATGAAAGATATTTTTCTTCTTCATGTGCGGCCGTTTTTTGTGATTTCGTCCTTCAAACCCATCAGTAACTCAATGTAATAATCGTTGTTGATACTTTTTCCTCTTTCAAGGTAGTCTATGTAAATTATACTCTGTGCGTCCCAAAAAAATGACGCCATGACTTTGTCAGCTGAATGCTGCATTTTTCGACGGACCAGACGGCTTTCACTGCTGACTGCCGATTTGATTCCGGACTAAAATGGTGGATCCATTTTTTGTCTACTGTCACATACCGATGCAAGAAATCCTGTTTATTGCGGGTGAACAGTGACAAACAGCTCTCCGAGTTGTCAACTCGTTGTTGCTTTTGTTCCATTGTGAGAAAACGCGGCACCCATTATGAAAACACTTTTTTCATACTCAACTTGTTGTGTAAGATGGTAATGAACTTCGGGTTGATATGTGTACTATCTCAGCAATCTCAAGGACTTTCGTTTTGTGGTCATTCATCACGATTTTTAACACCTCCTTAACATTTTCCGAAGTTACTGCTTCATTTGGCCTACCCGAGCGTTTCGCATCCTTTGTATCAGTACGACCGTGTTTAAATCAGCATACCACCGGCAAATCGTTGTCTTCGACGTAGCAGAGTTCGGATAACATTTTTCAAGCCATTGCTGAGCTTGAACGGTATTCTTTCCCATTAAGTAACAATGTCTTATCAACACACGAAATTCGTTTTTGTCCACTTTGGAAACAAATGCAAAAGTAACCTCACTTTCACCGCTGTATCTTTGCTGTTTAGGGTGCGATTTTCGCGAAAATTTCACAGGTGTCACATGAAGGTTAGCTATTTCGACAAATGAAGTTGACTGGTCATTACTATCGCCATTTGTGTGTGAGTCCCGGGACTTACTGAACCATGTGTTAAGCTTCAAAAGATCTTCTTTTATCGTAAAATCACTAAAAACCATCCTGACGAATACGGCCATCTGAGAGATGTAAACGAGACCTGTGGATTCATCAAACTGCAGTGTAAAATAAGTTATCGAAGTAATTTCTTAACTGTAAAACTATATCATTGGTCATTACTTCTACTCGTCTCATCACTGTATTAGCAGAAAGTTGCATAGATTTTATAGCAGACACTATCTCGTCTTTATTTTTAATGTTGGCAAATAATGAATCTGCAAGTTCTAAACACGCTTGTTTCATCATTTTCCCGTCTTCATAAGGTTTATTCTTTTGTGTAATTATCTGGAACACCCGGTTTGATGTTTCAGTTGCAGCCCCACTTTGGTCGATCGTTCTTAAAGACATTGTCTGTTGTCCAATTAACTGATTTTTTAATTGTTCCAGTTTTTCCGTTCACGTTGCAGAACGTAACGCGAATGATTTTTTAAAATTAGAATGTACAGTTTTATAGTTCTTTTCGATATTCCTTTTTTTAGCAACGGAAACAGATGCATTTCATAACTTACACTTTTACCTTTAACTTCTGTAAAAAATATTGTTCTTCCCATTCCGAATGGAAATGGTGTGTCTTCATATTCTTACTACTGTTCATAATGTTTTTGATTGCAGGCCAACTCTAACCCAACCGCTGGACTTTGTGACGTTAAGTTTTGAACACAGTGCACTGTCGCCGCGCCTTCTTTTTATTCCGTTCAAAGTAATCGCGATCGTTTTCGAACCTATCGCTCACCGCAGTGTTGCCGCTGCTTGTGTTTATTATGAGACCTACAAAATTTACGGTTGCTTCTATGACTTTCTTAAAATATGTTGTGGGCACTGCTCCAGGCGGTCGTGGCTCTGTCGTTAGCGTTACAAATATACTGCTTTGTGATAAGCCATTTTTACCTTTTATCTGCTCATGTGAGCTATCGCAGGTGCAAAATGGAACCTGTATTTGACATGGTCTTACTGAGTGAGAACAGAAAATTTAACTAAATTCCATGAGAATTATACCGTATCAGATACACTCCACAAGTAAAGCATCTTCTGCGGCAGCTTGGAGATATGCGAATCCCAGACATAAACCGCTTAGGGTTTAGGTATGCTATGCAAGAACGTAGAATAATTACCAAGTCTCTCAGAATAAAAGCCTCCGCAGAAAACAACAAATTTTCCTAGTGAGCTTCCAGAGTACAAAAGCTATTGATTTTGTAGTGGGGATTAAACTTTTTAAGCCCTGCACGAAAGTTTACCACCACGATGCTTATATCTTGCATTCTTACAGCGACTCCGCTTTGCGGGCAATACTGGAGTTCCGGAAGAGTTTCGGATAACTTAGTTTCTTTGCTATTTACAACAGCTGCCAAACGTTGTCATCAAGGAAGTTTGAGGTTAAGCTGTGCTTACAATTAGTATGTGATAAGCAATGCATGTAAAACATATACAGGGTGCTCCTGAATGATATGCGAATATTTAAGGATTTGAATCTACATGAAAAACTAATGTTAGATTGCTTAATAAACTATGGTCCAAAAATGTTCCCTTACAAAAACTCGGGGTGTTGAAGTTTTAGGAAAAAAATGGAGTTTAATTAATATTTTAAGAATCGCCTCACATATTCCACTGACATTTAGCACGTAGTGAAAGTTAATAATGTTGCATGTCTTTCAATGCAAAAATAATTTTTAGCTATAACAGTGGCGTGCGTACGGGTATTTCTTAAGAAAAAATGGTACGCCAATAAAAATTATTTTTGAATTCCCCGTTCGATTTAAAACAAACGATCTCTCTTTTTCTTCTTTTGATGCGCCAACCGTTCTATTGTCTAACTTGCAAAATTATTATTAATTTAAATGGAAAAATTAAACACATTAGGGGTAATGAACAACAACAACTGAAAACATAAACATAGTATTAAAACCAACGAAATGATTACAAAAATTGTTGAAAATGGCCCCCTTCACTTAGTATGCATGCTTCTGCCCTCCTTCTCATGGAATTGCGCACTCGTTGAAATATCCCTGGAGTGTTTTTCTTTCTATCATAAGCTGCAACTATTCTTTCTCTTAATTCGTCTACAGTGTTAATGGGACTTGTGTACACTAGTGTCTTAAGATAGCCCCACTAAAAGAAATCTAAACTGTTGAGGTCTGGGGACCTTGGTGGCGATTCTTGGGCCCCACCGCGGCCAATCCAACGATTTGAATAAACAGTTTGTAAATAATTACGAACCGCTACACTGAAATGCGCTGGTGCACCATCATGCATGTACCACATATTGTTTCTTATTACTAACTTAACATCATCAAACAGCAAAGGAGCAAAGGCAACTGTTGTTGAAGAAGTAAGTCTGTCCGTCAAGTCGTCCCGGCAAGAAGAATGGGCCAATAAAGTGGTTGCCAATAATTCCTGCCCATACGTTAAGCGAAAATTGGTGTTGGAATTGAGTTTCGGTTACGGCATAGGGATTTTCTTCTGCCCACAAATGATTATTGTGGAAATTCTGAATGCCATTTCGAGAAAAATTAGCTTCGT